ATGCCATCGTTTCCCAATGGAGACACTGGGACTGCTGAATATTCCAAGTCACCTCCCTAGGCCTATCTCCAGCTCTCCAGTCCCACCATACACCTCTGCTTCTGCCACGCTGTTTCTTGGCTCTGTACCGTGTATATGTAATTCCCTGTCTAAAACACCCATGATCACCAGTCCCCTCAAACCAAGCAAGCTCCTACTTCTCCATTAAGACCCAGCTCAAACATCCTCTTCTCTCTGAAGCCTTTCCTGACTCCTCAAGCAGAGACAGTGGCTGGTTCCTTTGAACTCCCAGCTCTCTGCTCAAATCTCTCCTATTCCACTTAACACACTCTGATGATCTGTTCACGTGTCCATCACAAGTCACGAACTGCGACCTTGACGATAAGGACCACATCTTCTTCATGTTCGTGTCTCTGGCACCCAGCAGAGAGCTACCCATCCCACGCATATGCTGAGCCCACCTAAAACCTCAAGATCCCATCACCACTCTAGTCTAGTCTAGTCTAGACCAAATGCCCCTTATAGCACCAAATAGCATTTTACGTAAAGTCAAACAACGGAGATTCATTTCAGAGAACACAGCCCAAGACCTAAACAGGGTGAGGTGTCTCTCCTTGAACCAGACACCCAAGCAGGAATCAGCTTCATTAGGAATCTGCCTGCTCGTCAGCTAAGAGGTGCTACCCAAGATGGCAGCCAAGAAGGTGAGACATCAGAGATCTGAAAATCTGGCAGCAGGCCTGACATTTCCCCCTGGGATAGTTTATCTTCTGGACCAGCTCCACAAGGCTCAGTGAAAATGCAAGTGATGCCCCAAAGATCTTGGGTCTAACTTTTACTCCAGTCATTAGAACCCCGGGGGAATCTGTTTCTCAGATCAGCCAGCTAGTGACCCAGGAGAGGGGACAACGCTAGGAGGCAGTAAGAGTCTGGTGTCTGAATGGGGAAGGCAGTGCTACTGGGGATCTGAAGGGTCTCTGATGTGTTGATGGACAGGGAAGTTCTCCCCTGCTCCACTCTCAAAAGCAGCCTTACCAGAGTATTTCTATGACCCCTGACAACACCACCAGGCCTTGCACACACCAGGTAACCTCATCCCATCAAAGTTTTGGGGACAATCTGCCAAGACAAGCAAACTCAGGGGGACCACAGCTGTGCGGGGCAGCTGTGGAGGAAGCCAGAGTACACAAATGCGCAGGTATTTGTGCAAGGCAGTCAGGCCTATAGAGCAAGTGGCTAAGGGACCAGCAAAGAGTGGGCTCAGCTTTCACAGCCAGGGCTACATGCAGGGAAATAAAAGATTCCAAGTTGGTGAAGTGATCAGCTGTAACCTGATATCCGGTGTCACACACAACTCACACAGGGGGTCAGTGACTGCTTCCAAACCTGGTTCTCCAAAACCTCATATGGGTCATTAAATTCTCTCAACAAATTTTACCTTTAATATATAAATGTTCCTCATAGCACTTGGAGAGAAAGCATTCTCTGCATCTGATCAAGTATAAGGTGGGAGACCCAGTCGGTGGCATTCACTCATCCATGCCACATTCATTGATTGACTTCACCAATATTTATGTGCTAGGTTCACATGGCAAAGGGCACGTGCTTGGAAAGGACAAAGCTGGAGTCGGGGGTTCCTGACCTCAAGTCTGCACCTCCCTCCTCCAGCCCCGTCCACAAAGAGTTAATGCGGTTCTCACCCGGACCAGGCACACTTAAGGCTTCATGTAGCATCAAGTTCATTGGTGCTGACCCAGCACAGTGACAGAGGACTGACCCCAACGTCCTGTTCCTCTGTGACTGGGGGCAGGGTAAGGAGGAGAGGAAAGGAATAGGAGTTGTAAAAATAAAGGCACAGTCTTAGATCACAAGAGTGGTGCCGGTGGGAAACCCAACGAACTTTAGCTCTTAACACACACGACAAACCTCAGCTCATGTTTCCTGAGCACTTACCATATGCTGGGCGAGGCCCTTCAGGTGCATAGCATGAAGAGTGTGTGTTCTGCAGTCAGATGTCTGTGTGAGTCCTGTCCCTACCACTCATTAGCTGTGCGACTTTGGGCAAACCACTTAGCCTCTCTGTGCCTCTGTTTCTTTGTCTGGAAAGTAGGGTAATATCAGTACTAACTTTAAAGGGTTATTATGAGAATTAAATGAGGAAAAACATACAATGCTAAACTTGAGCCATGTCCTGGCACAGAGCAGGCACTCAGCATTAAGATGAATAACTATTATCCCATTAGTTAATGACACTAGTCTGCAGAGAAAACAGACTATTTCTTCCTATTTTACCAATAAGGCTTTGAAAGACTGAGTCAACTTGCTCAAGGTCACAGAGTTAATAAGTGGCAGAGCTGGGATTTGAACGCAGGCAGTCTGGACTTCAAAGCTCACAAGCTTAGCCACCGTGAGCACAGCACTGAGCTGGGTTCTGGGTGCACAGAAACCAGTGGGGAGATGAGCAAGGGATCCCTGTACAGTGCAGTAAACACTACAAGAGAGATGTATTGAGAGAAAAAAGGGGGAGGAGGTAGAAGGGAGTGACAGAACTGTCTGTAGGAACTGAAGGATGCTTCACCCAGCAGGAGACTTGAGCTCTAGCCTCAAAGAATGATGAAGAATCTGCCAGCCAAGGAGGAGGAAGGGCATTCCAAAAAGTCAGGACCTAGAACACTGAAAGAATAGCGAGCTGGGTGGTATGGCAGGCGCACACAGGATGTGGCATAAGGGGAGGCTGGGAAGGTAAGTTGAGGCCAATCATGAACAGCCGTGTCCACAACGTCGGAGGTTAGATTGCATTTTGTAAGACAGTGTTTCTCAAACTTTAATATTTACAGGATCCACCTTCAGTGTTTGTTAAAGACGTGCAGATTCCCATCCCTTCTGTTAGCACTGGGGGGCCAACAAGGGTATGAAGACAGTGTAGTAGTAAGGCCCGCTGTGGAGTTTTTTTGTTTTTTTGTTTGTTTGTTTGTTTTTTCTGTGAGGAAGATCAGCCCTGAGCTAACATTCATCCCAATCCTCTTTTTGCTGAGGAAGACCGGCTCTGAGCTAACATCTATTGCCAATCCTCCTCCTTTTTTTCCCCCTTTTTCTCCCCAAAGCCCCAGTAGATTGTTGTATGTCAGAGTTGCACATCCTTCTAGTTGTTGTATGTGGGATGCCGCCTCAGCATGGCCAGACAAGCAGTACATCTGTGCGCACCCAGGATCCCAACCCCGGCCGCCAGTAGTGGAGCATGCGCACTTAACCGCTAAGCCATGGGGCCGACCCCCCCCACCCCCGACCCGCACTGTGGTTTTAACAATGGAATTCTGGCACTGGAAGGAGGGGAGATTTGGAGACAGAGGCTGGTACAATCAGCCAAACTGGAGCAGATAAGAGGATGAGAGTTGGGAATAACAGCACTCTTCATGAACTGATACATTATACCAGGGTTTCTCAACCTCAGCACTAAGAACATTTGGGGCCAGATAATTCTTTGCTGTGGCAGGGGCTGTCCTGTGCATCATAGGATATTCAACAGCATCCCTGGCCTCTGCCCACAAGATGGATAGCATCCTCCCCCACTTACATGTAGACAGCCAAGAAAGTTTCCAGACATTGCCAGATGTCACTCAGGAGGCAAAATCGAAACTCCTGTTAAGAACCACTGCTTTCCATCCTCCCATCCCTACTTCACAGATGAGGAAATCCAGCCACAGAAAGGTACAGAAAGGCCTCAGCCAGGATTCAAACGCTGGTGGTCTGGCTCCAGGGCCTGGGCTCTTAGCCATGGAGCTTAACTGCCTTTTGGGGAGAGAGACTCAAGCCAGCCTTCTGGGGCAGAATTACAGATTTGGTGACAGATTGGATGACGGGAAGAGGATGAAAGAGTGAGGTTCAAAGGTGAAACCTCAGTGTTGGCCACCAAACTGTAAGGATGGTTGGTACTAAATAAATCCTTTGGATTTGAACAGAATCAAGATGTATAGGCTCAAAAAGGAAAACGCTTGGTCTCCTGTGGTATGAGCCAGCAGCGGGAGGTGGAAGGTTCCTGCTCAGACTGGACAGAGGAAACCTCTGTAGGGCTGGACGTGGGATGTGTGGTACAAACCACCTGGTACCCAAATCCTGGCTGGGCCTCTTCCCAGCTGTGTGGCCCTGAGCGCGTTACTTAACCTCTCTGCATTTCATTTTGTCCGTTTGTAAAACAGGATAATAAGGCAGAAGCTTGATGTGACAACTCTGGCAGTTAATAAGAGCAAAATGGCAAGCTAGCACGATGTGGTTGGCCCTCCTCTCCTTCTGACCCACCCTCATTACCTCCAAGCCCCATGAGCGTCCCGTGTGGAGTGCCTCCCCGCCCCACGCCCCCCTGCCCCTAATGGTTGGGAACCCCGGACAGAGCGGCTGGGAGCTGACTGCACCCTTCTCCACCAGCACAGAGTCCCACTGAGGCTTTAGGGGGCGCCAACAGCCTTTTCACTCCCCAATCCGCTCTGATTTCGGGGTCCCGGGGGTCGCCAAAAGCGCGCTGCGAGCTGAGTGCCTCCGAAAAGAGCCAGGTAATTGAGTTCAATGTGCGCCACAGAAACTTCAGGGAGGTCCGCACCCGGCAGGCCCGGGGTCAAAGCCAGTCACTGCCGCGGGCCGGCCCGCTCAGCCCCTGCTCGCGGAGATGGAGGAGAGAGGCGCCGAGATTTGGAAAGGACCTGCTCTCCGAAGCCAGGCAGCGGAAGCAGGGAGCTCAGAGTTGTTGGATCCAGAAAAAGAAGCGGGGTGCGGGGGGAGCAACAGGAAAGTAGGAGGAAGAGGAGGCAATAAAGACAGCGCTGGGAAACAGAATTCCCTGGGGGACCCCGCCTGCAACACCTGGGCAGGGGCTGGGGAACAAAGCAGCGGCTGCAGGTCAAAAGTGCTCTGGGTGGTTCCGAAGACGGGGCGCTCCGGGGCAGCCCGGGCCCCCTGGAGATGCCTGGCGCCCCTGCGCCCCGTGCGCGCTCTCCGGCGCCGCTTACCTTCGCCGGGGCCGCCGGCGCGCACTTCCGGGGGTTGCGCTCGGGGCGCGCGGGGCCGAGCCGGGGTAGCCAGAGCCGATCACCGAGAGGAGGGCGCGACAAAGCGCTTGGGCCGGCCCTGGCGCCTCAGAGAGAAATCCCAGTGGAGGAGCCGCCGGAGCCGGGGCGGGGCGAGGGGGTCCCGGCCTCGGAGCTCACGGACGGCCGCGCGGAGCCCCGCAGACGCTGGAGGAGCCCGAGTCAGTGGGAGGAAAAGGTTGTCTCATTTCCTTCGGTCTCCCCCTTCCTCCACCCCCTCTGCTCCGGACCTGCCCTCCCTCTCCCCCGCCCCCTTCCCCACGCCAGCGGCCCATGTGGGCGCTCGGAAGACGCGAAATCTGAACGGCTGCAGCGTGCGGCGCCTCCCTCCGCGCCAAGTTAGTTCACGCTCCCAAACTCTTGCCTGCCTCCCCGCGCTTCCCACCGTCTCCAGGGCCCCAGAAGGTTCCCCATCGGCTGTTCACACCCTGTCCCGGAGCTCTCCCCTGTTGCCCTGCTAGGACGAGCCCAGATTTGAAAGCAGACCTCCAAGCTCCTGCCAGCATCCATCATTTCATTCAAACCACCCAACCCAGACAGGAAATAAGTACTTACTTGGTTAAATTTGACCAACTTTTTTTTTTTTTTTACGGTGGGGAGTTTAAAGCCTGATGCATAATCTCGAAAGAATGTTCATTTTGTTCAGATGGAGAGCAACTGAGATCTTTGGCCTTGCTCATTCGGAGTTGGGTTTTTGTTTGTTAAATTCAACAACTGTTTATTGAGAGCCTGATAGGCACCGAGCTGGACGTTGGAAACGCAGAAACGAAGGAGAAGGGCATGCTGTTCTACGCAAGTCATAGATAGTGCAGGCAGAGAGGAGATCTAGAGATGCTGTGGTCTCTTAAGAGATAGGTCAAGGACTGGAAGAGCTTTTTATGGAATAAAAACAGCATAGGCAGAGGCAAAAAAGAGTGAGAAAGCCCCATCGGCAGGCAGTCTGGCAGAGAACACAGCCAAGATGGGGAGTGATGGTGGGCGAACAGGGAAGAGAATGTTGAACCAGTCCATCAAGAGAGAATAGAGGCCGCAGGGAGCATTGGGATGGAATTGACAAGACCTAATGACCATGAGCGATAGATTAGGGATGAGGAGAGGATGGAGGCGAGAGGTAACTTCCAGGCCTCTGGCTGGAGTAACCAGTGACCAGTGAGTGACCAGAATCCCAGAGCACCTTCTGGAGCTGCTGCTCCAAGTATGGTCCTGGGACTGGCTCTATTAACATCAACTGGGAGCTTGTTAGAAATGGGGACTCTCCAGCCCACTTAACCTAATGAATCAGAATCTGCATTCTAATAAGGTCCCCAGATGATTCAAATGTGCGTTAGAATTTTGGAAGCACTGCTCTCTAGACCACTGACTGTATATTACGGTGACTGTGTATTAGACTGTGGATTCCTGACTGTATATTAGAAACACCTGGAGAGCTTTAAAAACCAATATGAGGCCCCTGCTCTACCCCCACAAATGCTTATTTAATTGGTCTGGGGTGGGGCTCCAACATCAGTATTTATGAAATGCTTTCCAGATGATCTAATACAGTCAGTATTGAGAACCACTGTTCTAGACTTACTCGAGAGCTACTTCATTTAACCTTGAAATGCAGCTCTTCAGAAAGGAAAAGAACAGCTATGTGTACATGAAAATTGTAAGGACAAGTTATCCCACTCTCGTACAGAGGCAAGTGGTCTGTGGGAAAGGGCCTTTGTTTCCTAAATTAATCAGGGAACCAGATTCTAGCTTCAGATGGCCACTAAATTACTGTCTGAACTTGGGCAAGTACTCCCCTCTCAGGCTTCAGTTTCCTTACCTGTAAAATACACACCTAACTCCAGATTCCACACCCTGGCATGCAAGGTGCCATGATCAGAGCTCCCCCTGAACTCGCCAGCTTTATCAACAGGTAGGAGGAGAGATGGTGTTGAGAAGTGGGTTTTCCTGGTGGGATGCTACGTGTGCCAGCTCCGTGCATAGACATGCACGAACAGAAATGAGAGGATTATGTGCCGAGCATAGGACTACACACATGACTGTAAGTGTGTACTAAATGAATGAATAAATAAACAGGGCACAGATGCCAGTAGGTGACATAGACCTCCCATAGACTGGTTCTAATCCAGAGCCTATTCATTTGCCCCCTAAGCCGGAGGAAGGCCATTTGGAAGCACTCTGGCCCGTGAATCTGGCTTTGGATCTGAGACTACTACTACAGTAGTCCCCCCTTATCTGTAGCTTTGCTTTCCACGGTTTCAGTTACCCGCCGTCAACCATGGTCCAAAAATATTGAATGGAAAATTCCACAAATAAACAACGCATACATTTTAAATTGTGCGCTGTTCTGAGTAGCGTGATGGAATCTCTTGCCATCCCTCTCCATCCTGCCTGGGACGTGAATCTTCCGTTTGTCCAGCGGATCCATGCTGCCTGTTAGTCACTTAGTAGTCTTCTTGGGTATCAGATCAAACTGTCACGTGTCAAAGCTTGTGTTCAAGTAACCCTTGTTTTACTTAATAACAGCCCCAAAGCACAAGAGTAATGATGCTGGCAATTCGGATATGCCGGAGAAGTCATAAAATACATCCTTTGAGTGAGAAGGTGAAAGTTCTCAACTTAATAAGGAAAGGAAAAAAATCATAAGCTGAGGTCGCTAAGATCTATGGTAACTTTCATTGCAGTATATTGTTATAATTGTTCCATTTTATTATTAGGTATTATTGTTCATCTCTTACTGTGCCTAATTTATAAATTAAACTTTATCATAGGTATGTATGTATGGATAGGAAAAAACATGTTATGTATAGGGTTCAGTACTATCTGCAGTTTCAGGCATCCCCTGGGGGTCTTGGAACATATCCCCCGTGGATCAGGGGGGACTGCTGTATTAAGAACTGCTAGCATTTGTTGAATGCTAGTACACACCGGGCATTGGGATGAATGCTCTGCTTAGCATCACCTCATTTCATTGTAATGAAGAAGATACTGTCGAACCTCTGCACTTGAACTGGTTTTAGGAATCACAGGTATGGAGGGACTGGAGCTGCCATCTAGGGCAGCCCCTGCCTGTGTGCAGCTGGACATAAGTAGCCACAGAGCCCTCTTAGGGGTCTTACAGGTCATTCTGCAGAACATGCGTCCTTGCGTAGAGATCAACCTTGAGAAAAGGCTTTGGAGTGACTGCTCCAGGGTCCTACAGAAACAGATACCCCCAGAAGCTATCTCACGCGTCCCATGCCTATGGTTAAGCCTTGGAAAGGGACTCCTCAAAGCTACCGGCCTCATGGTGGCAGGTACGTGCATGTGCACATGTGTGTGCAGATACTGCCTTTTAATGAGAGCCTCTTAGGTGCCAAATCCTGTGCCAGTCCTTTTCACATATATTTCTTTTAATCCTCACAGCATCAGCATCCTGATGGGTTAAGTTCTCTTATTTTCTTATTTTATAAACAAGAAAACTGAGAGGTCATGAAGTGAAGATCTGTTTGTCCCTGCAGCCCCAGTTTCTTAAGTGGTATACTTTATTGCCACCATTGTGCACGTCCACCACCACCCCAGGCCCCTCCCCACCTCTTCCATGGAAAGGAAAGTTCTCATTTCAAGTCCCATTCACTTGTTACAGTCATGGCATCATGTCATCAAAACTCTGTGCCTCGTTTTCCCACCTGTAAAATAAATGTCCTTGATTGCCTTTTTGTTAGAGTGCTGTGTGTGGCTTGACACGCCATAGCCTGAGAGGCGAGGAGGGGAGATCACCCCCAGACTGTTCAGAGAAACTGAAAGTACTGGGGTGATTTATCCAAGATGGGAGGGTCCTGTACTTCACTAATAGCAGAACTATCATAAAAAGGGAATCATCTATTTTCCATCTCTAGGGGGTCTAGCCCTGTGCTAGACCAGGACAGACACTCAGTGGCTACCTTGTGAAGCTGCCCCCTACTGGTCCCATAGGGTCTGCTGGCCTGGCCTTAAGACAGAGGTGGATGGGAACACAAGCTGGGGTTGAGATCCACAACATGAGCCTGGCAGAGGCAGGAGGGAGACCAAGTGCACAGGCACAGCGTGCAGCTCCTGTTACAGCCAGAGGTGGGGAATTAGAAGAGGAAAAGGGTTCAGCCCAGGAAACTGGGGTCTGAAATAACCACTCCATGCCTGGGTCCAGCTCCGGGGCTGTGAGCTGGGCTCTCAGTGTGAGCAGCCTTGCTGACGTGGATGCCAGCTGGCCTGGGCCTCCCTGCAGAGTGTGCAGGGCTCCCAAGGCGCTGGTGGTCAGAGCAGGGCTCCACCATCCTGCACACTGATGTCCTGGCCAACAGCACGTCCAGCTCGTGGAAAAGGTCTAGCCCCCAAGCCCCTCCAGTTAGCACAAAGAAAACATAGTTTAAATCTTCAGTGAGGGGAGGCCGTGGTATTCCTTCAGTAACATGAGCATTATGAAGCCCAGAATTGATAGGAGGGTCCCTACATCCACGTTGTCACTGAGCCCCACCAATCACTTCCGTTTGACAAGGACCCCAGACACATTCTGCTGCCTGCACTTCCAAACTCCCATCTGTGTTTCCCTGACAGCAATTTGACAATTTTACACCGAGCTTTTTGTGACGCATTTTTACTGGTACTGGTTTTTGCCTCAAATGAAAATACAACCTCAGACTTTGATTATCCTCATTTTATTGATAAGGAAACTAGAGCACAACACCCAAAGGCAGACAACAAAACAAAGCCGAGCTACCGGCTGAACTGAGACAAGACCTTCAGGACCCTGTGGTTTTACCCCAATATGAGCTGCTGAAGGCACCGCAGGATGCCTGCAGTGATATATGTCCTCACCCTAAATCGTGTGGCCCATCCAGCCCATTTATCTACCAGTGCAGTTCAGTTTAACTGCCATTTCCTGGAAACCGCCTGCCCTTCACAGAGAATTGCCCTCCACACCATAAGCAGCCTGCCCGTTACACTCAACACTCACCTGGGGGGTGTTTTGAAATATAGTCGTGCATCACTTGA